ATGTTAGATTACACATTCACATCCGACTGAAGATTGGCCCCATTTATTTGCGTTGCAAACTCTGCAGTACAAGGTACATGTTGTGAAGCTCATAAAGTGAGGCAAATAGAAATAATCAGCTGATGGAGTGTAGATGTGGAAATAGGTGCATTCGATCAGCTGACTGTGTTTTCACAATAAAAGTAGTTTCTTAGTGAATGTCCTGTACTGGTCTTAACATCTCATAACATCAGCTTTTCATTTTCCTCTTGGATGTTCTTCTTGACCCTCAGAGAAGGAGGAGATGCTGAGTTGTGTCTTTCAGGCATGTCCTTTCCGAACAAAAATTACAGGAAACATAAAACATATTATTGCAGAACAAGTGTGTTATTTATGAAAGAGGTGTGTTTGTGTTTAGGGGCTGTAGATATAATTATTTTGTAATTGTAATGTTTTTTTTTATTTCAACAGTGAGCTACAAAGACAATCAGATTATGAATGAACAGTATGAAATTCATCAACATTGAAATGTATTTTATTATCAAAATAATATTTAACTGTTATCAAAACTTAGTGCAACTGTAGAAGCTTGCTCTGTTGTCTCACTGAAAGAATAACTTTTACCACGTTTTTACAGACAATATTGAGAGATAAATAGCAGTTGTCACTATGCGTTAAATATCTTTGCCTTCAATACCTTAAATTAGAAAGCTGACAGTCATATTGCTTGTTAACATCTAAATGTAACCCTTTGCATGGAAAAAACCCTCAACTTCACTGATGTGTAGGTGATCTAGTATTTAGTATTGTTTAATGGAATGTATAGCAGTGTATTAAAGTCAATACTTCATTTATTTAAACCAATATCTTTCTTGATTCTTTGTACAGTATGAAAAAAGAGTATTTGTACCTGTGCTGAAGTTCACTGCTGTGAGGAGTCCAGTTCTGTCTCTCACTCTCTGGTCCATCCTGTCTGCATCACCTGCACACTTTAAACAAACAGATATATATGTAAAGTACCATGTGTACAAACAATATAACTGATTATCTTCTGTTGAACATGTTGGATTGTGTATTGCCCGAGTCAGGGTCCTTTTTATTTTACTGTAACTTTGGAAGTTGTGTTACCAATGCTTACTGTTTATTTGATACCAATTTGGTAATGCAATTAATAAAAACAACAAGGTTTGGGTTCGTTCTTCAGATGACTGTGATGTTAACGTGTAAGCTCAATAATGAACTCCAGCTCAACCAACCATATTGTAATCTAAGTAATCATCTTGAAATATGACATTAATAATTGTAATATACACACATCTTATTGTGAGGTTGATTTCACATACACTACTTCGACGTTAGCTTGTCTACATACTCGAGCATAGCCAATTTAAATTAACCTTAGCGATGCATACAGTTCCTACCTACATAATAAAATATCTCTCTAAGTTACAAGGATGACCTTATTTTATCAACCTCAAACAGAAGCCTTTTGTTCTCCAGTATTATCCCACTTAACGCTTAACACTTGTCTATTTCGTTTTAACCTTTATATATACGGTCTATGGTTTTAAGTTAACTTGGAGGCTACGATTAGCATCGTTAGCACCGATGGAGCTACCACTCGCTTACACGCGAACCCAAGCCTTAACATTCATTACGTAGCTGATTAAAATCATAAACACATAAGTACTCAAATTTCACTTACCGCAAAACGGCATTCATGCACCGTCTGTTTTAACCGCAGAGCGAGTCACAATAGTCCGATATATAAGCATGAAGAACAAACAAACACGGCCGGGGTCAAGTTGTGTTCCCTGGATGAACTCAGCAGGCAGAGTCCCTGTAGCTTCACGGAGACGGAGCAGCTAGCAGAGAGACAAGAAGCTAACAGCAGCAGTCACTTGACAGAGCTGTCACTCAATGTGACCACGCCCTAATTTATGCAAAAACTTTAAGACCTAATATAAATAAAAGGGTCATGTTAGAAAACAATTCACTCACAGATTCATAATCATGAAGGTGGAATCTAACTATATACATAATAAAATGTATTGCAGCCAGGGCTAGAAACGTTTTTTTTTCTGCTGTGAAATTGAGCATTTTAACATGGGGGTCTATGGAAATTGCTCCTTTCTGCAGTCATCGCCTATCGGCCAATATATGAACTGCAGTTTGTGGCACTTCCGTATTGGCGTCCCGGCTCTTCCCCAGAGTTTGCGGCTTGGTGCTATTCCACCACACGCGGCGCGTTACGGCTCAGAAGCGTCCCAGAAGCGGCTCGGCGCAGGGCTCCTCTAAAATTAGGATCGAATCCTATTTTTGTCGAGGCGCAGCCGTAACGTAAGGTCGGGCAGGCAGGAAGTGGAACGTTCAGAGCTATATATACACACACACAAACTAATTTTGCAGACCCTATCCCTCCGTAGTCTTTCAAGTAGGAAGATAAATGCCAGCGTTCTCCTCCGGTTTACAGGCACTGTGTAAATTATATATATAATATATATTATATATATATATATATATAATTATGATGACGAATGCATTTTTTTGCCACTAAAATACAGCAACACATCTTTGATTCATGTCGTTTATAACTGGAATATTACAATTATTATTAACTTTGTCTGTACAAAGTAGCCTGTCCAGGAAATATGCCCAAATCAACAAAAACTGCGAGCCGGCAGGCAAGACGCTCCGCTTCTGAAATGCTTCTGAAACGCGCCTGGTAGGGTATGACGCCGGAGGAGGCCGGACCAAAACCGCAACGCGGCGCAGACGGACCCGGTGGAATCTAGGGATAGGTTCAAGTTAGACAACTAATGTCTGGGTTAGTGTTCATGACTTCATGTTTATGTCATCTTAATATTTAATCTTGATGCACACACATTTCCCGTGCTTTCCAATAGTTTAAAATAGTTGTATTCCACTGTTAAATAACCTGTTCAATACAAACATGCCACTTGTACAAATTAAATAACATTTCTGTGAACTGATATTTGTTTTGTGAGCTTATTAGAGGATGTTCCCTGAAAGATTGTAAAATGTCAATGAAGATGTCAGACTTAGTATATTTGTTAATAATTATACAATACATGGAATTTGTGTGTGTGTGAGTTCCAAGTGAATCTGCGGCCCCCTGGTGGCCAGTACATAAATTATATGGCCCCCACCACCATCCAAGTTGCCCATCCCTGGCTTAGCTGATCTAAGACTGGAAACATGAAGAAGGCGATCTTGGTTCTGTCCAATGTGCCTACCATCAACTAAAACAGTCAGTGTATGTTTTGGTCATTGGATTTATTTTCAGAAAAGGATATTCAAAGACGAGTGGATATTTAATTTTCGTTTTTTTTCCTTATCATGGTCAAAAAGGGATTTACTAAACTTAAAAAACTGGATGATTTTCGTTTTCTACTTCTCAAAACAAAAAATAAAACCATGGGTAAACAGAAACGAAAAAACACAATTTTTTTCATATTCTGCTACCGGAAGTTGTCTTAAAAAATAAGAGCGCAGATGAGGACGGTCCTGTGTCGGCCGTGATCCGTGGTCAAATCAGCCCGCGCCTAAAACATGATATTTAAACGTCCGGTATCACTTTGTCCAATTGGGTCATTTTTCACGTTTTAATTTGGCAATAACTTTGGTTGTGTTACTGCAAATGGCAGGATTTTTTTGTAACAAGGCTATTTTTCTCGATATATAAACATTTTCTAATGGTTCTGTAATTCACTGTGTAAAAGATTGACTACCCTAATTGACCATTCGGGACAAAAATGTCCACTGCCAAAATCTTTGATAAAAACATTATATTAAAATGTTTTTTTCACCACTTTTTTGGGTTCTATCTTTAAAGCAACTTCAGCCTTAATCAAAAATACCAAATATGTAATAGTTTTATAGGATTTTAACCCTTTAAATGCCATTTTGAATACATGAATCACTGTGGTTTTTCATGATAAAAACTGAGAAAGTTAGTTATTTTCAATATAATACATATCTGGAGACTGGCTGTTTTTTTTATCACAGTCTTGGATGTGTCAAAGATCCTCTCTGCACGGAGGAGCCGCAGAGGAGCAGCGGAGTCCGGGCGGTGCTGCGGCAGGGTGATGACGTTAGAGCATCATCCTATGTGCCGGGGCTGAGCCCCGGACAGCCCCGGCCCAATTTAACCCCTGGATGTAGTCACTGTGATCTCACCAAGCCCACAGGAAGTGCACCGGACGTTGAAGCGAGTTTTCGTGGCCAAAATACTACAAGTTCTGTATCAGCCTGTGACGGCACCCGGCCAAAAAATACTTTTTCCTATTGTCTTACATTGGGAAAGAGATGTCTGTAAATCAGCATATAATTTATTTTATAAATAAACATAACAAAAAAAACGACTCAGTATGAACACTTTTATAGCCCTTTTTTTAATCATTAGGGTCTCGAAGTTGTTAAATGCGGGACCAGAAGTGACACAAAATTATGGCGTAGAACCCAACGCTGAATATGATATTTTGAGGTGACCAAAATGCTACAATTTACAAACTTTCATGAACTCAAAACCAGCTGACTTGAATCCCTCCGATTGAGACCATAATCTCATGTTTGCAATGTTTACGGAGAGGTAATGAATCCAGTCAGAATCAGGGTCTGATATAATAGACTTATTTTCATTAGCAATGGAGATTTTAACATTTGCTTCACTTTTTACAGCCTGAGGTTGGCCCTTGCTTGTAATACATCAAATGGCTGCTGGGACTACCTTTATAGTTGGCAAGCAACCATGAGATTGGTATCATTTAATTCTTAGAGAAAACGCAAACAAGTGATGTTTCCGCACTGTTCTTTATAAACACATTATGAGATGCAATCTCATAATGTAATTTGACTGACATTCGAGTTGACAGTATATATTTGATCTATTGTTGTTGGCGATTAGGCAGTAGTCTATTTGCATACCATACCATCTGGCTCCTGATTGGTCACCTACCCCTTCAGCAGAGTTGTGAGGAATGGACTGTTCTGTGTTTCAGTCTGGTGGGCACGGCGCAGCAGACACTGGCAGTGCTGAGCTGGAGCAGAAGTTTCTGGACAATGCCAAAGATGTGGTGGAGTTCAGCGCCGGCTCACAGGCATACTCCCTCAGTTTCCAGAGTAAACAAATATTGCGCAATGGAGTTTTTTTAAGTTTCAAACATTAAAGCAGTACAATAATCTTTTTCTGTTCCGCAGACATGAGCCAAACAAACAAGCAGTACGGCACAAAGAGGGTTGTGAAAAGACGGCCCCAGTTCGTCTCTACAGCTGATGTCAGGGCAAAGAACACAAGGTGCGATATCCAAAGTAAAATATGTTGGACCAACTTATGGAACATTGTTATTGAAACCACCATAAGATGAAACTAACCCTTATTCTTCTTTGCTTTATAACAACAGAAGGCCTCTCGCTCAACCAGGCACTGTACCGGATCACTGGGACAAGACACAGATGTCTCAAACAGGATACAAGGTATTCATAATGTTCAGCAACATCAATCATATTGGACTATATAAAATAATATGAAAAGTTCTCCTTGTAGGTCACAGGTCTTTGAAGGGTAGGGATCTGAGATGCAAGCACACAAAAACACCAACAGGTGTATTTCTAGTTACTTACACATTTATATCTAATACTACAGGTACTACAGGCAATTGTGACTGGCCATAAAGATTAGTTTCATACATATAGATCCCCAGGTTACACCTTGTTTAATCCGAATCACACTAGCAAGCTTCCAAGACAGCAGAAAAACAGAAATCAGAAAAAGCCAGTCTGGTTACTCAGATGAAATCTTATTTTAGTAAGTTTCATGCTGCATGCCCAAGGGATGCGTCCTGGCCAATCACTTACTGTATTATTTCACAGCTCTGTATCTAAGTTAAAGGTAGGGTAGGTAAGTTTGAGAAACCGGCTCAAGATACACTTTTTGTTATATTCCATGGAATGCTCTTAACATCCCGATAGCAATGAATATCTTAAGTGCTTTGACAAAAAATCCATAAAAACATGTCATCTGTGGAAGCCGTAATACTGTAAAAAGTACGACCAATCATTTTAGCCGGCCCGGCTAAAGTAACTGGATGGCTTACCTGCCTGTCAGCCTTCCATCTGTGCACAAACTTATCTCGTGCCCTCATTGGTCATGTGCGCGTTCGTGTGTGTTGGAGGAGGGGCTCTATAAGGAAGTGGCAGATTTTCTCCGGTTGTGTATTTTCAAATTCTAGCGATCTCGAGCCGGTTTCTCAAACTTACCTACCCTACCTTTAAATGTGATAAAGCCTTTATAGATATCAGTATGTAGTGTCTCTACTTTAAAGAGTCCTCTCCTGCTGATGTTCAGGTGTATGTCAGTATGTAGTGTCTCTACTTTAAAGAGTCCTCTCCTGCTGATGTTCAGGTGTATATGTAGTGACTCTACTTTAAAGAGTCCTCTCCTGCTGATGTTCAGGTGTATATGTAGTGACTCTACTTTAAAGAGTCCTCTCCTGCTGATGTTCAGGTGTATATGTAGTGACTCTACTTTAAAGAGTCCTATCCTGCTGATGTTCAGGTGTATATCAGTATGTAGTGTCTCTACTTTAGCGACGGTGCAGTGGACTAGTGTGTTGGTGTTCGGATCTGGGGAGCACAGGTTCAAACGTGACTGCAGTCAGCATGTCGTTGTGTCCCTGGGCAAGACACTTCACCCCAAATTGCTCCTGTGGGGATTGTCCACAGTATTGAGTATGTAAGACACTTTGGATAAAAGCGTCTAACAAGTAACATGTACAGTAATGTAATGTAAAGAGTCCTCTCCTGCTGATGTTCAGGTGTATATCAGTATGTAGTGTCTCTACTTTAAAGAGTCCTCTCCTGCTGATGTTCAGGTGTATATCAGTATGTAGTGTCTCTACTTTAAAGAGTCCTCTCCTGCTGATGTTCAGGTGTATATCAGTATGTAGTGTCTCTACTTTAAAGAGTCCTCTCCTGCTGATGTTTAGGTGTATATCAGTATTTTGTGTCTCTACTGTGACATGTCTCCATGCTCTAATGTTCAAAAAGCTTTATTTTTCTCATACTGCCTGTGCTGCAGCACCTCTTTTCACCCTCTGTCTGAAACCAGAGCCCAGTCTGCTCTGATTCGTTAGCTGGCCAGCTCTGTTGTGATTGGTCAGCCGCTTAGAGATGTCCCGCCCCTTAGCCTACCACATACAAGGAAGGCTTCTCAAATCTCTAATTTCCCCTCCTCGACTCCCCTCCTCGTGTCTTAGTCCCGCCCACAGGAGATGCGAGCGGAGGACTCGAGGAGGGGAACCGAGGAGAGAGGAGTGGAAGCAGCAGGCGGTTAGAGAAATGAGAAATCCTCTCTTCTGAGCGGTCATTTTAAAGAGACATCCATTAATGATGACAGGAGGCACAGCAGCCCTCTGTCTGATGGACAGATGTGTTCATGACGACTTATATATTTACTTTTAATTCATTCACAGTGCGGTATAATGAGACAATAACAGGCTACAGATGCGGACATATACACACACATATATTTATATAGATATATACAATTTCAGAATCAAACAAGTATGAGAGCACTATCATAATAACGTAACACGATCAGAGACTGATCGTGTTACGTTATGCACCCCCCCCCCCCCACCCTCTCTGGTCGCTGAAATGGGGAATTAAAATTACGGGCCAAAAGTTTTATTTACAGAAGTATTAAAAGTAAGCATAGGACACCAAACCAACTGAGACCTGTCTGTCCGCCGCATCTACGCACTGTACAACACGCACCTACACACTGTAAAACACACACCTACACACTGTACAACACACACCTACACACTGTACAACACGCACCTACACACTGTACACGCACCTACAGCTCCTAAAGCATATAATATCAGGATACAGCCGTTGTGTATTTTATTATGTGAAGCAATAAATGGTTTTAGAAAAATATCGACTCTTTGTTTGTAGATATCTACTAAACTAAAGCAAATAAAGAGAGTAGGCCTGTTATACTGAGTGATATATATTGTACACTGCTCTGCTTTCTGCACGGACCTCACAGCTGTTCTCACTGTAAACATCGCGTCACGATTAAAGCAGTTAATAAAATAATATCCAGGGGATGCATGCAGAGCTGTCATTGGCTGAGATCAGTCCGGCCGTGCGTCACGACTCTTTGAAACATCTCTGTTGCCGGAAATACATTCACGGAGGAGCCGTGGAGGATCCATCAGTGTATCCTCGATTATAGCTCCTCCAGAGAGCCTCCTCGATGCTCGATGCTCGGTCCTCGATGTGCATTTAGAGAAATTAGATGTCCTTCAACATGGCGCGCTGAAATCCATTTCCGGGTCACTACCGGAGGACCGAGGAGTTGAGGAGTTGAGGAGGGGAAATTTGAGAATTGAGAAGCCTTTAATGTGTTGGAGCACTACACAATACAGGGAAAGGAAAACCCAAAAAAGCATGATAGAGCCTCTTAAGATATAACAGATGGTAACAATACATTCACGGTAAAATACTGAAACGTGCAAGCAAAGATATGACCCTCATTTTGGATGTTATAAACAAGAAGACCCATAAAAATGACAAGGCAAGAAAGAGAACAAAAAGGGTTCAAACACTGATAGGCTTAGCTATTTATTAGGATCCGGAGTAAATTTGACATTTACATATTTGTATTGCCCATCAAGATAGCTCCCACAATACTGGTCTATACTTCGTCTATGCACATTTTTGCCATAGGTAATAATCATTTATTTGCCCTTTGTGTTTACAGACAGTCCCTTTAGTTGCTGCTTCTGCACCAGCACCGAAACCAGTGCCAGCACCGACACCAGTACCAGCACCGACACCAGTACCAGCACCAAGACCAGTACCAGCACAGACACCAGTACCAGCACTGACACCAGTACCAGCACCAACACCAGTACCAGCACCAAGACCAGTACCAGCACCAAGACCAGTACCAGCACCGACACCAGTTTCAGCACCAAAACCAGTACTAGCACCAAAACCAGTACCAGCACCAAGACCAGTACCGGCACCGACACCAGTACTAGCACCAATACCAGTACCAGCACCAAGAACAGTACCAGCACCAAGAACAGCTCCCAAACCCATAATGATAAAAGTATTTCGTTCAACCAGTTAAAACAATTTAGGGTAATGGTTCACATCTATACTCTATAGCTTGAGCCAATGAAAAATAAATAACTTGCCTCAAACAATATTTCCTATGTCCGTGGAAACTATTATATAAGACTTGGCACAATGTATATTTTTCTATATTTTTCTATATTTAATCTAAACAAAAAAATATAGATTTGATCAAACAGTTCTTTCTCGTTTAAGACACATGCTGCCTCTGTTGCTCTGCGCTCATTTGCGTCTTCCACTTACAGCAACAACCTGCCATCTCCTCACTCTAAAAACAAAGACAACAAGCCAGAATTTGTATTCATTGGCGAAAGGAAGTCAAAGCAAAGAGCACCAGACAGTTTCTCCCTGTCCGTATGTCTATTTCACTGAAAGACTGATTGAAGATTGAGGATCACAGTGTAAGGAAAATCATTTTCTTCAGACTGTAAGAATACTCCAGCCACCACTTATGAACAAGATGTACGCATGTTAGTATGCCTGACATAAGCATCCATCTCATAGTACAGCTGCTCCATCACTACACCTACGTTTCGGACCTTTCCTGTGTTTTTTATGATTGCCGATTGAAGCTAAGTGCTGGCTTTTCTTAGTCCCTCCTTGAGTTAAAATACAATTACCTCAGTGGAATCATGCAAATGTTCAAGATTAGAGGCCCCAGGATGGAGCCTTGAGGAACCCCACATGTCATATTTTTCCATTCTGATGTTTTTTTTGATTGTGCCAGAAAGTCACACCCAGTTTTCCAGCTGGTCTAGTACAATTCTAGGGTAGACTTTGTCGAATACAGCGCTAAGATCTAATAATACTAACACTTAGATTCCGTCTTTGTCTATGGAAAAGTGGATGTTATTGAAGACAAGAGCAGTGCGTTCAAAGAGTGAAACGCATCAAAACAGTTATTTATCATCAATAAGTTGTTCAGTTCAGTCATGCAAATGTGTATATGCAACACAATGTTTCTAGCAAGTTTGTGTCAATAAAATATACAGAAACATTTAATTTGTGTTCTTTTTTAGACCTTGGTATGGAATAGTATGAAAAATAGCTACAGGGTGACATTTATTTTAACAACTGTAAAACCGGCAGGTGGTAGACATTTCTGTATATTAAAAATGGCAGTGCCAGTACCAAAATAGCCATGCTCCTATACATTTCAAAACTTTAGACACGCTTTAGTCAAGTAGCTTTTTGATTTTCTATTTGCGTCCTTTCGTTTTTGTGCTGTCATCTATTTTTGGGATGAAGTTGATTCTGCCTTTCTGTTCTCCTTCAGCTTGTGTCGGTCCCATCTCTTTTATGAGAACTTTCAAAGCTGTCAGTGGGACACAAAGTGGAAGACGTCCTTTGAATTTCAAAGGCCTGACAGAACACATTGCATCTATGAGCCGTGCAGAGGTCCTCTATACAAGAAAGGGCCTTCAGAATTAATCATCCACGCTGAGAGTCCTGCTGGATCCTGCTTCCTCTGCCAGCAAAGCGAATAGCCGAGAAAGTGGATTGAGAGAGCAGGAAGCCGTAACCAGACTTGATAAAAGAGCTGTAGCCCTCCCACCCTGCTAGCTGCCTTTTGGACAAGAACCAAACATGTGTTTTTATGGGACAAACAGCATGAGGTCAGCTTGTTCTCATTTGTGCTCTTCACCCACATCAGTATATTTCTTCTGTTTTGCGAAAAAATCTTAAACTGTGTCATTTTCAGTGCTCCCCCGGGGATATGTAAAATGACCCATGAAAGCATAAAGCTGGATCTTCTCCTGAGCCTCCGGAGGTCCCGTTCAGGAGACATACGGCCCCAGCGAGCAGCAGACAGCTTCCAGCCGTCATTGCTATGAGCTAATTAGCCGTCACTAATGTGAATCAGCTTCCATTTTTACTCCCTTTGATTTACAGGGCCCGTCCCCATCACATCTCCATGGAGACAATGCCGTCTATACATGCCATTGTGGGCTCCATACGCCAAATGATCCCATAAAAGAGCATTTATAGCTACCAAATATCCCCATTTCCTCTTGGAGGAGAGTCCTGCTTGAGATCAGGTGTCCTCGTCGCCCGTCAGATCTTCTTCTGTGAGTTTAGGTTTAGAAGATAAATTAAGCACATGGGTTAAAGGTTGTTTTGGTTAGCCGCCACATCTTTCTGATTAAGACGTTAAGCTCTTTCAACAATTTTGTTTTCATTTCAGCGTGTTGACAAAGTGGCCTAAAAATGTACTGTAGTACCTATAACCTGTTTTTAAGCTAGGATATATAGTGTTAAAATTGCTAAACATTATTTGCTTGTATAATAAGGGTTTATAGTAATTCTCCAATCCATTCTCATTAGTTGTTTCTCAGAGTTTGGTCCAGTGAAAATACATTTGTGTAACTGCACTTGCATTTACTGCTTAGCTGACTGTCACATTTGGTTTGAAAAGAACATCCTGTGAGAAAAACGCCCCAAAAACATGATAAGGCCCCTTTAAATCTGTTTACCTCGTTTGCCTCTGACTTTTGTTCTTTCAGTCGAAACCAATGTTGCTTGAGACACTTACTTTGTCTTCATGTCATCATTCTCTCTTTTTTCTTTTTATGGGGGGTGGGGGACTCCTGTCAGGGGAATCAATCTACAGGACCAGAAGAGGGCAGGAGTGACACAGCGTCCATCGCTCACCCACATGGCCTCGTTCTGCTGCTGACGGTAAGCCCTGCGATGATGGGAGGAGTGCGTGACAAGATGAGCCAGAGAAGTGATGGGCTCTCTCCATCACAGCCAAGGCCCTGTCAGCACGTCTCCAACAGGACTTTTCCCTACTCCAACTTTGCCCCAACTTCTTCTTCCTTTCTCTGTTTCTGTCTTTCTCCACCTGCAGAAGTCTTCACGTTAAAGAAGAAGCAGGTGATCATTTAGTGCTGAAAAAACAAGACTGCCTGCGGAGACCTCTTGGTGGGGAGTGATGACGTATTTTCGTAGGCCGACCCTGAAGAAAGTGTAAATACAATCGGCCGAAGAAGAAAGCTAAGATTAGGCTACAAACAAACTACATCCGGGTCACATGGCTACGTGTCGCTAACGCTAAATTAATATTCGACTTGATGACGCAACCGCTGTTTTATAATATATAAATGAACAAGCTTTCAACCAAACAAACACGTTCAAAATGTATTTCCAGGTTTTAGGACTCATTCCTGCACAACTCTTACACCAAATACATAAAGTATCCTTAATTTGCTTCACATTGACATCGATTACAACATTATAAAAGTCTTATATATTTGTAGGACAACACAATTACAAAACGCCATTCTGCATGATGAGTACTTTTAACTTTAGTTACTGAACTTAGTACTCAACTTAGTCATTGTAATGGAGTATTCTTCCACCACTGGACCTTGATGAACGCCGTAAAATGTCTTCTTTCAGACCCCACCTGTCAGTAAGGGAATAAATAGCCAACAGCTGCATAATTTGTAAATCAAATGATGAACAAAACATGGTGAATTTCTTTTTGAGCAACCTGCTGCTGGTATGGTGCGAGTAATCAGAGAGCAGTCTTTGCTTCTGAGTGCTTCTCTGTTTATGGGCAGCACTTCATGAGCATCAGCTGAATACTAAACGCTCATCAGAGAGGGTGGCTGGCCAGAGGCCAGAAAGCAGCACAAGTAGCAGCTGTGTTGTGCTCCATCAGGATACAAAGATCCACAGAGCCACTGACTTCGAACCCAAAATCCTGCACTATCTATACAAAACACTATCTCCACTTTGTACTGCCATTTCTCTTCATTAAATACAACAGTGGCCAACCACAAGTCTGCTGCTGATTGGACACCCCCATTTTTTGGCCAGCAACATAAAAAAAAGTGGGCGAGAGCATGCTAAGCTTAAAAATAGATGTGAAACACAAATGAAACATTCCTGAATATGGCCACCCACGCCCTCTGAAAATATCCAGATAATTATTTTACAGTAAAACGATGCATATGTCTTGTGTCTTTAATAACTGAATCATCAGTGGTGGAAAAAGTACTCAGATCTTTTACTAAATTAGCAATCCCACAGTCTAAACATTCTCAAGTAAAAGCAGCCTTGAGCAGTAAAAAAGGACAAAGAAAGCTATTTTATAAACCAAATAAACTGTCCATCCTTATTTGATGGACTGGGTTTGCTAAGAAATGCAGTGATGAGGTGTTTTTATAGGTAAGTTAGCATCGTAAGGAATACCAATGTTAGGCTATAAACAAAGTGCGTGACAGTCACGTGGTTCTTCATTTACCCGGCAAAGCTAAAGGTGGAGGTTGTTCGGCATGATGATAACTTCACGAAGTGGGGGTATTTACTGATGTATTTTATGTCATAGAACAAAATGTGAAAATCTATTAAGCTTGTGTTAAGCACATACATTATTTCAGGCTTCTAACCACAAACACAGTCAAAACGCTGACTCCAGATTTTTCCAATTCAAGGTTCAAGGACTCATTATTTCACCAGATGGTCACAATTTGGTTAGGTTTCAGTTAAGTAAGGTTTACCGCCAAACATTCATGGTAAGCTAGCTTTAGGTACAAAACTAAGTCATTCGTTTTAGAAAGAAGATCAAGCATTTGGTTAAAATAAGTGAAGTATTTTGTTATGAAACATATCGTAACACAAAATGTTACATAGCATTGCTTTCTACCCGCTCCACCCGTTCTTTGCCTTCTTTGCTCCCTCTGCTCAGGTGCTCCTGCACTAATGAGCCATATAAAAGGGAAGCTGAAGGAGAAGGAGCCTCTCTCTCGTTTGCTGCTCTCACCGCAGTACTCATCCTTAGTTTAGGATTTTACTCTTTATTTTGTCTTAATTATGGCAATTGAAATGTCCCAATTTCCTCTTTGCAGTTGGTAGCTTTCTGGTTTCTTGTCGCGTCTGTCTTTCATAACAATGAACAAAACTAAAAAGCAATTCAAAGAAAGATTTTGTTAAAAGCTACATTTAAAGTCAGGTGTCAAAATTAACAATGTATCCTGAAAAGGAGATGAGCAATGTTCACATAAAAACGTCCGCAAGGTTGTGCAATAGCTTCTAAATATATCCACAAGGTCAAATGTAAACTGATTTATTCCTTTATAATGAATGGTAGTATCTTCATATTGTGAATAACGTCCCAATGCATGCTGTTAATACATATTAAACACATGGGAGGTTGGCTTCATTCATCTTTGAATATCTATCAGTAGTAGAAATACTATCTCTTCATATGCAAATGTGTGGTGCTTTGATATTTAAATATGCTAGTGTAGTCTTACATGTTGTATGCATATTTATTAATTTATGCTGTTTGGGTTGTGAATGGATACATACAGTAGTGGTGTCCTTTTAAAGTAGATATTGTAACATTAGCATTTTAATTACTTGCTTGGAGGAAAGTACGTGAAATGGGGAAAGAGGTGGTTGTGAGGTGGATTTAGTTCTCGTGGGAAATGTAAGGCTTCAGGTCATAGGCTGAGGAAACTACGCTAAAACTGTGATAGTCTTATTCTGTGTAGGTACATGTTTCAGCTATTTCAGGGTCATCAAAGGGAAGTGTAAGAGCCAAATAAAAAGTGAAATAGTAGAAAAAGATGGCTTAAGTTGAGTCAGTATTAAGAAGCCATTTATGTTGTCGAATGAAAACAGATGTGTTGGTCAGCTTTCACTATAAGTGGTTAGTTTTCCATCCAAATAGAGTCAAACCCAGACCTGGCAACAGACCTAAATCCATGGGTGGTATTCGATTAGAGAGGGCGGGACAAATGCAAAAATAATAGGTGGCCCTGGGACATCAGTTTATTGAGCTTTCTGATGAATTACAAGCATAATTCCCAATCTACACGTAGCATAGGTGCACCTTCAATTTCACTGACCTGAAAACAAAGATATATATTCACATTTAAGAAATGGAAACACATTTTTCCAGGGTGTTGCCAATACGTTGAACCGGTTTCGGCCCAGTAGAGTGATAAAGTAGGAACAATATAAGCATTCACGCTACCCGCACCTCTAAA